ATGTATCAAAATATTTGACCATGGCCCACAAGGTCCTGCACAATCGGTCCCCCTTGCCTCCTTGTCCTCATCTCCCAACACTCTCTCCGAGCTCACACTGGCTCAGCTTCAATTCCTCCAGAACACCAGGTTCTGCCTCCTCTGTTCTGCCCACTTTCTTCCCCTCTGGGCATCTCCTTTATTCTTCCATATCATTATCAGGTTTTAGACCTAGGGTAAGACATTCTTATTGCATCCACAGATTACACACGGTTAACAATCCTACGCACTTGACCTCCATGGTCAAGGTTTACCACTTTCTATTTACTTCCGCTTGTTAAAGATTTAGAAACTAACTTGTTTTTGAGGAAAGTAACCCACAAGCAAGGTTTTTAAAACATTTAAAGTACCCCCAGGTTTTACAAAGTAACAAAAGGATATTCAGTGATCAGTCTCTTCACCTTTTCTGAAGTGATTCAAGGCCACAAAGGAAACTTTTTTTGTTGTTTTTTAACATGTTGTTGTTAAGTGCTGACTTTTGCCCTGTATAGGGTTTCCAGTGAGTGGTTGGTGAGTGTGAACCAATCACCTTGCGGTTCAAATCAACTTTGCAGTCTAGTGCTTATCCTACTGCGCCACATATTGTGTAATGCTTTCAGTGAGGTTTGTTTCAAAAGATCAGACCAGTTTCCACGTTTGTGAAACCTTGGATCCTGCAGCAATACATTTTTTTCCCTGAGGCTTGTTAAGAACCTTACCACTCCTGCAAAGATTTACGGCCTAGGCATCCCTAGACAGCATTGCTGTGAGTTGAAACCCACTTGAAGGTATTTATCAACAACCAAGTCTTACACCCGTCAATGCCTCTCCTATCTTCACTCCAAAACAAAGAACTTCCCCAACCTCATCTCTAGTAATCTACTTTGGTATAACTCTATGTCTTGAAGCTTCATTGTCTTCTGAGTGGTCGCTCCCACCTGTAAATAATCCACTAGGTTTAAATTCAGATCTATGATGACACCAGGCCAGAATAGGAGGGAAAGGCACTGCCCGCCCCAATCCTCAGGTCCTGCCACTCAGGCTATGTAGGGTAACCCGAGCTACACAGCCTCAGCGAGGGACGCATATGCCAGCACAAGGAAATTTCTGAGGGTGGTAAATGTGATCTCTACCTTTATTTTGGTAATGATTTCACAAGTGTACACAGACATCAAGACTTTGGAATCCAAACTTTCTGGAGCCATATAAGCTTGATTGCCTTCAGGTAATCTATGGCAAAATATCGCCTGAAGTGTTCTTAAAACCAACTAACAGTTTAGCTTATCCAGTAAAAAATGTCTACTGTGAGAATTGTGCTCTTTTAAAATCTCTCTACCTGGGATCAAAAGGACAACAGCAATTAGAAAGATTAGATGGGACCCGAATCTTTCAAGGACATTGAGTTTATGCTTGTGGGAAAGAAACAATTCAGAAAGGAGTAGGAACATTGTACACCTAGATGTAAGGGATCCATGTCACTGAACTATGTAGGTATAAACTTGAATTGGCATGTCTTGCTGTGTATATTATCAAACAAAAACACAATAAAATATGTGCAATTGACTATTATCAATTATATCCCAATCATTTAAAAAAAAAAAAAAAAGCTTCGAATGTTCCTATAAGCGCACTTAAACAAAAATGTTGGTACAACTAAAAATGAGAAAATCAGCTGTAAACATTCATTAACAGTTGGAAAATGGAATAGATGAAGTATGAATCAAGGAAATGGAATATCAATACTTTAGGCACTGTCATTGTTGTTGTTAAGTGCCGTCAAGTTGGTTCTGACTCAAAGTGATCCTGTATAGGATTTCTCAAGGAGCAACTGTTAAGTTTGAACCAATGACCTTGTGGTTCAAGCCGACAGTGTAGTCCAGTGCTTATCCTACAGCGCCATACAAGTCCTCCATTTTAGGCATTAGTGATATATAATTGAATTTTTCAGAGCCAAAGATAGGGAAAGAATCCTGAGAACAGCTTGGGAAAAATGAAAATTACTCTAAAGGGCAACTAAACTCTGATTACTCAGCAGAAATCACACAGGTAAAAAGACAATGGGATGATATATATAAAATTCTTTAAGAAAAACAATTGCCAACCTGGAAGCAAAGTTGTCCATCAAATGTGAGGGCAAATGTAGGACATTTCCAGATAAACAGAAATTAAAAAGAATGTAAAAACCAGGCAATCTTACAAAAACACTAAAGGGAGACAGAGAACCGGACAGCAGACAACAACCTGAGATTAACTTCCACGACAAAATCACCCACAACTCAATCCAGATACAGAAATATCCAAAAGCAAACCTACATACTAAAAATCAGGAACCAAGAGCCATGTTTTCTCAACAACAAAACACTAAGTAAAAAGAGAGATCAATAAAATTACAGCACTTCCAAATGAAGAGCAAATCAAGTAGATTTCAAGAGCAAAATTAATAAAGATAAACCTAACTGTACCCTGGTGTGGAGCTGTAGGACAAGCACTAGACCACAAGGTTGGTGGTTCAAACTCACAAGCCACTCCTTGGAAACCTTGTAATTTGGAATCAACTCAACAGCACTTAACAACTGTACCCTCAAACTAGACCAAGCCTTACTCGAGCCCTAATCCAGCTCTACCCCTAACTTTAGTCCAAACCCTAACCCTAACACTAAAATATGGCCTAGCCCTAGCCATACTCGTAACCCTTTCTCCTTACTCCTCTCTCCCCCTGCAAAAAGATTACCCCTTTGGAATTCAAAAATCATTTGCCTTGACCTGCAGAGTTAACCTCCTTGCTTTGAATTTAACTGGCCTAGTAGACTTCCTTGACAAGTCAAGTTTTAGTTCAAGGCAATATTCCATGTAAGTCGTAATGCACTGCAAGTCTTGACTTACGGTATGCTTTCTGTCGTAATGCTACAGAGCAGTGGCTAAGAGTAAAGAAATATAACTATATTGTCATTGTTGTTGTTAAGTGCCTTCGAGTCGGTTCCGACCCATAGCGACCCTGAACACGGTTTCCAAGGCCGTAAATCTTTACGGGAGCAGAACGCCTCCTCTTTCTCTTGTTATTATTTGATTTAAAATCCTGGCTCTACCATTTGCTTGCTGGGTAATCTTTGGCAAGTTCATTAACTTCTCTCTACTGTAGCTTCCTGAGGATTTAATCAATTAAATATATCATACAGTGATTGAAATAGGACTATACATACATATAAATCAGCTGTCCTCTATTATTATTATTTGGAGTCCTGGTATGGTGCTGTGGGTTAATGTGCCAGACTGCAAAGCCGTTTGAACTATAAGGTCAGTGGTTCAAGCTCACCAGTCGCTCCTTGGAAACCCTATACAGGGTCGCTATGGGTTGGAACCAACTCGACGGCACTTAACAACAACAACAAAGTAGACTTCCTTAGAAATCACTGTTTTGATTGGAGCCTTTTTGGGGGCGCTACCCTAATGAGAATAAAAGTAGTGCATTACTGAGGGAACTTCTCTGCAGCCACACTAATCACAGAGATGTATTTAAACAAGTTTTGTTTGGAACAAACCTGTGCATGTATGAACTAGAACCACTGTAGCACTACTTTTTGACTTACCCTCATATTTCATGGACTGCTAAGACAGATTTGGAACAAACAAATCTTAGAAAAAGTACAACCTGAATACTCCTTCAAAGTGAGGGTGGGGAGGTTTTTGTCTCAGGTACTTTGGACATATTATCAGGAGGGTCAAGTTCCTGAAGAAGAACATCACGGTTGGTGAAGTAGATGGTTAGTGACAAAGAGGAAGACCTAAAACAATACACTCCAACATAACAATTGTGAGGCTGGCACAGTAAAGGACAGTGTTTCCTTCAGTCTGCATCGGGTCACTATGAGTCAAAACCAACCAGACCTAGATGGTACCCAACAACAATTCACCTGTCTATTACCTCCCAGTTCTCTTACCACTGGGAGCCTAATATCCCAGTTTCATATGATTCTTCCCAGAAATCTTTTATGCTAATAAAACAAATCATAAACAAGGTGGTTTCTAAAAGTTCACTTTTTCCGTATGAATGGAAACAGACAATGTACTTTATCTGTAGTCTGTCTTTCTGTTCCTTTCTAATTGAGACACTTTGAGAACTGCCTATCTTCCTTATAGGCTATAAACTCAGAGAGGGTACGGATGTTGAATGGTTAACACCCAGCTATATAATCATGAGCAAAAGTCACAGAATCTCTGTATGGGAGGGCCTTGAAAGCACCAATGTGGTTAGAAGAGGAGATTTTCAACTTGAGTTTCCAGAACATTTTACAAGATTGAGAAAATGCTAACTGTTGTTATCAAGGACTGGGGAATATTGATGGAGACAGTAGGGAAGGGACCTGTTGTTATTAATTTCTGACTCATAGCGACCTTATACAGGGTTTCCAAGGAGCGGCTGATGAATTTGAACCACCGACCTTGCGGTTCAAACAGACCTTGCAGTCCAGTGCTTATCGAACAGCAGTGCGCCACACTAAAGCTTCCCAAATTGCTCTTTGGTACCATCATTCCATTGATCTGTTATTTAATCGAAATATTAACAGTGGTGGTGATGTGCCACGGAGTCAATTCCGTCTCACGGTGACCCCGTATAGGGGGGTTTCTAAGGCTGTAAATCTTTACAGGACCAGAAAGCCTCCTCTTTTTCCTGCGGAACAGCCGGTAGTTTCGAACTGCTGACTTTGAGGTTAGCAGCCCAACTCAGAAGCACTAAGCTACCAGAGCTTCTTAATGATGATAACAGTAGCGTTAATAACAGCTACTACGTGCCAGAAGCTATGCTAGGAGTTTTAAAACTCACATTACCTCACTTACTCTTGTCAAGAATCTTACTAAGCAATCTTACTATCATTTATCCAGGTTTGAGGCGGCTCACATAGAGCTTATGGAGAGGGGCTTGTGTAAACCATGCAAGGGGCCGGGACCAGCCTATCCCCACCGGCTCCTACTGTTCAGCTCACCCAGAGCGTTCTGGATCTCCACCGACTTCTCCGGGCTCAGGAGGGTCTCAGCGCCATCGTAGGGGGAGCGAAAGCGAACGCCCTCTTCTGTCACCTCAGAAAGGGACACCAGGGACACCATCTGGAAGCCACCGCTGTCCTGGGGATAAACCACCCCGCCACTAGGCTATCAGTGGAAGGAGATGGGGAAACCCCACCCTCAAAGGGGGCCCGAAGACCCTGGCTCAGCCCCTGGCACCCCCTCACCGTCAGCAGGTTGTGGGACCAATTCATGAAGCCGTGGAGCCCATGGGCTTTCTGGATCAGCTCTGGACCCTGAGTGGACGAAGTAAAAGACCAAAAACAGAACAGCAAGGGTCATGAGCATCCCTCCCCTCCAAGTTAGGAATCCTGGTGTGGCACTGTAGGATAAGCACTGGACTGCAAGGGCGGTCTGAATCGCAAGGTCGGCAGTTCAAACCCACTAGCCCTTCCTCGGAAACCGATACAGGGTCACTATGAGATGGCACTTAACAACAAATAAACCCTGGAGCAATCTCTAAATTGTGTTCCCCCTCTCCCACCCTCCATTACCGGACACATCCACAGTGCAGCATCTCAACACTCCCCAGGCAGGCGCCTTTCATATTTATGGCGGCTGGGCTGGGAGTGTTATTCACTCTCTTTAGAACTGCGCCCCCCTTGCTAAGCCTCTGGGAGGAAAGGGTCAGTTTAGGGGTAAGTGCGGCCCTGGGGCCCATGTTGAACAGCAGGACCCACTGACTGCTCCGTTTTTTCACCTCCAGCACAGGGCCTGGACAGGAGTGGGGGTGAAGAGTAGAGCAGGGGTGGGGAGCTGAATACCCATTTGGTGACTAACTCTGGGTGCCGTGTTCGGGATTGGGACTTGGATCCAGGTCTCCCCATACTCCACCACCTCCCCGCTCTGGCACAGCCCACCCACCGGCCTCAGACCCAGATGGTAGGTGTTGCCCAGGCAGATGCGGCAACCCAGCGCGTCCAGCTGCTCGGTGGTGATGCCCTTCATGGTGGCCTGTGTGCCCACCGGCATAAACACCGGAGTGGCCACTGTCCCGTGCGGCAGCCGCAGCTCGCCCGCCCGAGCCCTGGAGCGACTACACTCGGCCACCAGCCGCAAGATTCGGGGTGCCGACTCCACAGAAGTCTGGTTGGCGACTGCCGCCATCTTGGCTACCGGAACCACGTGGGCGAAGAAAAAGTGTGGGCGGTGCTCTGTTGGCTGCAGTCACGTGGCACGCAGCGCCGACCAAACAACTGGGAGAGCGTCAGGAAAACCATGACAACGGTGTTCCATGCTCTAGCTCCGGCGGGCGACTGAGTTCTCTGCCACCTGCAGCGAGTTACCTCGTAGAATCCGTTTGTTTTGGTTTTGAATCCTAACTCTACAACAAATCCTCTCTGCGCAATCATTTTCTCCCTCATCAAATGGGGCAAATCTCGGCATCAGGACGTTGTGAAGATTGAATGAAATGATATTGTAGAAATCTTTGCACAGGAATTGGCACATGTTGCTCTCAGAAAGGGAGAACTGCTTTTACTGTTATTGTCACCAGACTCTAACTTCTCGTCCTCACACGCCCCTTGCCACCAGATTCAGGGCTTTGGCAATTTCCATCTCATTTTACAGGTCAGGTTGAAGTCTATCTCAGAGAGCCCTGTGTCAACTGATCATAATCTATAAATACTTTGCAGATTTATTTATTAGTTAACTTATTCATTGTCAGTCTCCTCCCAAGAATATCAACTCCATGATGGCAGGGAATTTTGTCTAACTTGCGCATTGTTTTGTCCCATGATCTTAAAACAGGATCTTGCACATGCACATAGTTGTTGCTTCCCTCAAGTCGGTTCCAACTCACAGCAACCCCGTATAGGGTTTCCTAGGAGCAGCTGGTGAGCTTGAACCAACACCTTGCGATTCAAACCGACCTTGCAGTCCAGCGCATTAACCAGCAACTTCTGTTGTTCCAAATCAGAGCATCATGCACATAGTAGATGCTCAATAAAGATCAGTGTCTTCAGTGAAAAATGGAATGCCCGATCTACAGTTGGGGGGATGGTGACCCAGAACCTAGCCACATTCATTCACTCATTCGTTCATTCATTCATTCATTCAACGTATACCAACACATACATTCCCTCTACAATGCCAGCTTCCATGCCACACTGTATAAGACAAGCTAAGTGATGAAACACTGCATGTGTTCCACTAATAATAGTTGTTGTTGGTTGCTATCTAGTCAGCTCAGACTCATAGAGATCTTATGTACAGCAGAAGGAAATATTGCTTCTTTTTGCGAAGTCTTCAGGATTGTTATTTTTTTAGCTCATTGTTGCAGTTACTTTGTCAATACATCTTACTAAGGGTTTTCCTCATTTACAACTAACTACCCGCTAGTTTATCTAATAACTCTTGGCATGGAGCTGTAGGGATAAGCACTGGACTGCTAACCATAAGGTCATACTTCAAACCCACCAACTGCTCCATGGGAGAAAGATGACTCTTTCTGTTCCGGTAAAGCTCTACAGCCTCAGAAACCCTGTACAGGGGTCATCACTATGAGTCAGAATTGACTCCACCATGATAGTAAGTTTGGTTTTGGGTGATCTTTGTTATGGCTGGAAATAGAGTTAACATCTAACCTGCCAGCAGAGGTCACCATTGTCCCAGAATCCTTCCTCTCAATGGTACACTGGCTTCAGCTGGGCTGTCTAAGGCTTCTTAACCTGCAAGAAAGGGTTCATGGTGCCAGTTTTGAAATAGAGTCCTCATTGAATTTTTTCATGCCTGAAAAATCTCCATTCAGGAGGATCACCTCAGGGCCTTTGCACTTGTTTTTATCTACAACACTTCCTTGTGAATTCCTCATGGCTGCTTCATATTTTTCACTTCTGTTGTTCCAAATCAGAAACTCCTGACTCCCCTCCTTCTTAAGAACCCTCTACCCTCATCACTCTATATAACATAACCTGTAACTGATACAAACTTTTTTAAAAACCTCTACACATTTGTGCATACACATATTTTTATCCCCAGCACTGTTCAAAGCAGAGCTCTTGATGGTCTCCCCAGGCTTACATACTCCCTTGCATCTTCCTTTTCTCAGGAATTGCAGCTCAGTCCTTTCAGGAGCTCAGACCAGAAACTTCAAGATGGTCCTTGAACTCTCACTGTTTCTCATTCCCTATATCTGATCTATCAGCAGATCCTGGTGTCTCCACTTCTGAGAAATCTACCCAGGATCGACCACCTCACATCCTCTTGATAGGCTTCATCCTAGTTCTGTCACCAGCTATTGGGAATGGGAATTCCGGAACACTTAATTGTGCTCATGAGGAACCTGTACATAGACCAAGAAGCAGCTGTTCAAATAAAACAAGGAGATACTTCATGATTTAAAATCAGGACAGGTGTGCATCAGGATTGTATCCTTTTACCATATTTATTCAATCTGCATGCTGAGCAAATAATCTGAGAAACTGGACTATATGAAGAACAGGACATACGGATTCAACAACCTGAGATATGCAGATGACATAGCAAGGACTTGCCTGTTGAAAGTGAAGAGGACTTGAACCATCTTCTGCCTATGACTGATTGGAATACCTAAAATGGGGCTACAGCGTACCCAGTGAACAAGGCTTCTTGTGGAGCCTTTGCAACACATAAAACTACAGGTAGAAACCGGAACCACATCCAGATCTCCAGAGATGAGAAATCTCCACTTGAAAGGATGAGCAGACCAGCCTGAAGCAGCTAGAAGAATAAAAGATACCTCTTGAAAGAAAGACCTGCAGGAAAAATGGAGGCAGATGGGCTGTTACTATAAGAACAAACAAATCGCTTCTCTAGAAAACATCAAGGCAAGTGGCCAGGTCCCCTCAACGCAAACCCCCTTCCAAGGCTAAGACTCAACAGAAATGCACGCTCTGATTGGTGACCACACACATCACCGATGGGAGGGAAGTGGGGTAATAGCAGCAATGAAGCAGCAAGCTAAGCCCTACAATGTTCAGTGGACTTCTGTGGACCCAGCTGGGGACCTGGTTAGCAAGCAGTGTGAAGAGACCTGGGGACTCTTGGGCCCAGAGTCAGTGGCATGGCCACAGAGGACTCGAGAGGAGAGTGGAGCTACCAGCTGACGGGAAGAGAGGACTTATGCACAGGAGTGCCCACACATGATACCCATGTGACCTGGACCGGATGACTGGATGATCGGAGCTCAACCAGGAGAGGAAAGAAGAGGGAGGGAAAAAAAAAGAGTGAGCTGATACAGTCTGATGAACTTGACCTATACCTATGGAGCAGCGACTCAAAAGAGGGAACAAATCCTCACAGCAAGAAACACTCACACACACACACA